ATATATAGTTGTCTATATTCAGATTAATATACGTCTAACAAGTCTATGCCTGTCTATTGGCTCTGCCCACAGGGCGTTTGTTGGTCGTCCACTAACGTTTATTTTCCAGTTTCTTATTTCAACTTTAGTTTGGTGTCCTTTTGCCTCACTCTGTCGTTTGGCTGTGTATTTGTACGGCGTAGTTGCTGCTTGTACTTCTTCTTCTTACTCTCCTGGTTGTTCTTCAGCTTCCACATTTTTCCGCTTTGTGCTACATTTTTTATTATCCTTGTTTCTGTTTCACACATTTACATGCATCCCTGATTCTCAAATTGTTTATGCACACTGACACCCGCCCACGACACGCCTGCCGCCCTGCCACGCCCCACCCCTAGATAGCTAGCTGACCCGGGGACAATTGTGCGCTCGAATGAACTTTTGGTGTTGTACACAAGTTGAGGCAAACTATGAGTGAAGCATATGAATCTATTTATAAGGATAAAGGACAATGCAATCCAATCAACCGGTTTAGTATTCAAGTCAGATTTGTGAGCACCGTTACGTTGCCTTGAATAACTTTGTACATCTTTGTATGTATTGAACGGGATGGTACTTCACAGCCACGAACGACGGAAGGTTATCCTATTCATGGCGCGAACTCTAAAGGTAAAGCTGGAGTATGCAGCTAGGCAATCCATTGTAGTATGTCTAATCGAAGGCTTATACTTTTAACCATATGTCTGTAAAAGAGAAACTTTCCTGCTTTAAATACTACATCAGATTTACCTCCATATAGAAATATTTTTATTTTGAATGTATTTGCATATAACATATTTATCATCGGTGAAAATTCTAATTTAACTTCTACATATATCCCTTTCATGAAAGTTTTCCTTAACCCTTCGCTCTAGTTAAGATTCTGATTCATATTGACACAATTGTTGTTTCAATTGCAGTCTGACTTGCTGTGACTTTTTTACTATCTCGTTAGATCTGGTATTTCCAGATATTTTTCATATTATTTGAGGCTACCAATCTACAGAGTCTCAAATACTGCATAAAATTTGCTCTTCCCTCGACCCATTTCCCATCTCTCTCTCTCTCTCTTACATTCCGTGCGCCAAATACCGCAAGCATATATAGATATATATGCTATATCTGTATATGCATATAGATATCAATTGCAATTTGCCTGTTTATCAGATTTGCAGCTTTGATCGGACCTAGCAGATTTTGCGGCATATTTTCGATGGCAGTCGCACAATTTGCATTGTCTTTGAGTGGCATGAACAATTTATCAACAATCTACTTAGCTATTTACGAGGACCGCATGCACATGAGCCGGTTAAGCGACCTATTGTTGATTTAGTTGCACCGACCCTGCCCCACGTCTGGCCCGCATTGCAGTGTCCGGTATTTGTGAAAGGGATTTATTATGTTTGTGCTGTATGTGGTGCAGCCACATGATAAAGCCTGTCGTACGAGATCCTTTGGCTGGCCGTTAGACATTGGCTTAGTCAGAGGCACACAGAGGACTGGCACAGGCACTGACATTGGCTACCCTTTCCAAGAGGCCTCACTCTTGACTCTCAGGACCTTCGACTGCGTCATTTTGCAGTTGCAGCCGCCTGGTTGTCAGATGAAGCCCGTTCCATGCAGCACTGTGACAACAGCTGCCGGACATTTACAATAGCCCACTGCCCCCCCTCGCCCGCCTCCTGCCCCTGTTACCCACTTGCTAGCAGCTGCACGCTCTGCTCCTCCCAATTTCAGTGTTGTGATTGGGCTTATTTGCATTTCACATTTTGTTGGCATTTACCATTGCTTTATATGCACTCTTTGTTATCGTTGGCCCTGCAGCCAGAGCACCTGCTGCTGCTGCTGTTGCCCCACTATGTCCATGCATGGCAAATATTTTTCCGTTTCCTTCTCATGTTTATTACTTTTTTTGCTTTTTTTTTTTTTGCTGTTGCTTTTTTTACTTGTGCAGATAGCTTAACTAAAGCCTCACGCTGCACCTTTGACTTGGCTTTGCGGCTAACTGTCTGGTGGCCACTGCCCACTCCGTGTCTCACTTACCTGTCACCAGATTGGCATGATGGAACTGGCAAACGGCATCAGCCTCAAACCAGGAGATGCGATCACGGAAGAAACGATAGAACACATTCAAACCCTCCTGCGGCATGGTCCAGGTGTTGCTCACGTTCACCTGTGAATGAGGCGGAGTAGAGGGTTGATGGGTTGAATACGAAAACGAATACGACTACAAATACCAGAGGCAGGTGAAACCGAAGGAGAGGGGTTTTTTATTTTATTTTATTTTTTTGCGTGCCGTCTTTAGGTTGTCAGTGGCGCAGCTCTGTGACGGGCTACGCGGCGAATGCTTAATGCATTAAGTATACGCCACGTAAAACGCTTACATTTTAAATGTTGTTCTACACACACACCCACATAGACTGAGGGAAAAGCATATCAAACAAGTAAGAAGGCTCCAGTCGAGACTGCTCGACTAGGAGATACCCTGAACCCTCCAAACTGATATTCTAATCATTCTGGACTTCTTTTATGCACACATACATACACATGCACGTATWAGCACGCGCTTTGCAAACTGCGCAGCTAGCAGCGGCTGCGCTTGGGCTGCACTGCAGTGTGGGCAATATAACGAGAATTTATTTGTTGAATAATTTCTTTTGTAGACATACGATCTTAATGAAACTTTTAGAGCGTAATCATATGGCTTAAATGTGTGTACATTTCAAAGCACAAGTCTCTAGTACTTGAAATGCGTTTTTTACAAATTGGGGGCGAAGGGGGCGTGGTATCCAAAATCTGTAAATTACAAAATCTTTGTATCCATTAACTTTATATACAACGCAAATTTGAAGTCTCCAGGTCTAAAAGTGTTCAAAATAAGCTGAAAAAACATTGTCGATTTTTCGATTATTCTCGATAAAAAAGTTATCGGATGAGTTATCGAAAAAATAAAGCAAACTTGTACTGCCTATGGTATACACGAGTATGCTTGCCAAATTTCAGCTCTCTAGCTCTTATATCTTCTGAGATCCTTTTGCTCATACGGACGGACGGACGGACGGACGGACGGACGGACGGACGGACGGACGGACGGACAGACGGACAGGGCTATATCGACTCAGCTCGTCGTCCTGATCAAGAATATATATACTTTATGGGGTCTGCGATGATTCCTTCTGCCTGTTACATACTTTTCACAAAACCATTATACCCTGATTTCCCATTTTCAATGGGTTCAGGGTATAAAAATAA